AAAAAAAAAAAAAAAAAAAGAAAAGGCTTCAGTGAGGAGAGAAGGTGTCATTTGAATTAGGTCAAAGCGCAGTTAAGAGCCATAGCAAATCCAGTTCTCTGGATGTTTTAGTGGAAAAGGGATCGATACTGGGTGCCTGTGGGCCAGCACCTTGCAGGGTTTCACTTGGGTTACTCACAGCAGCCCTGTGAGGCCGTCGTTTTCACCTTTGCATAGCTGAGGAACTGAGGCTCAGATTAACACCTGTCCTTTACAGTGTCCCTACTGCAAGAAAGAGGGCCCAGGCCCAGGCCTTGGGGAGCTCTGTTGGATGGGAAGGTCAGGTAGTTTTCAAAGGGACCTTGGTAGGGAGCTGACTTGCAAGGGGATCTCCCCTGGAGTCTTCTTTTGGTCCCTCTCCCTCATTCTTGCCACACTGGGAAAGTGCAGCTAACGCCAGCCAGCCTCTCAGAGGACCATAGTGCTTAGATTGTGCACTCCTGGGGCCAGAGTCTGTAACGAGGGGGTTCCTTATGAGGACCCCAGTCCTGAAGAGCCCTTGGGGATCACACACTCCACCACTTTCACTGGCAAGAATAGGGACGGAGGCCTGGGGAGATTAATGCCCCACTCAGAGTCTTGCTGTGGGAGGGCCGAGCCACAAGCCAGCTCAGTCCACACTGGACCCGGCGCTCTTTCCCTGTACAGCGCTGCCTCAGTGTCACAGGAGCGTCACCCGTGACAAACTCTTGGTTAACCAAGGGCCCCGTGGGGGTGGCCTCACTCCCACATTTGCTTCTCCCTTAGAGCTGCCATCGCCCTCACACCCAGACCAGAGTGAGATAAGAAGCCGCCTTCTGCCCAGCACATGCAGAGGAGTGACCTACATGTCACAGTGAATGGGACTGTCACCAGACAGGTTCAGGTTGACTGACCTCTCCTTCCTGCTTTCCTCTCCACTCCCACCTCCCCGGCCTAACAGATTGCCAGGCTTCGGAGTGAACTGGACGTCGTTCGAGGAAACACAAAAGTCATGTCTGAGATGTTAACAGAGATGGTCCCCGGGCAGGAGGATTCGTCCGATCTGGAGTTGCTGCAGGTGAGGGGGGGCCTCGTCTTGTGGAAGGTCTGGACCTGGGGAAGCGGCAGTGAGGCAGGAGCGGAGCCCGGGGGGGACTGTCGTGGGAAGGAACATGTAGGCTCACACTCAGCCTCATGCTTCCTGGCAGCGATCAGATGCCAGCACCAGGCTCTCCTTTTTATTTGCCTTCATAACATTTTTTGCCCTGATAATAAATTGCCGACTGTAGAACACGTGCCCCTCAAAAGATGAAGGAAGTATAAGGAAGAAGATAACTCATTTTCTTTGATTCCAGCATCCACAAGTAACCCCTGTCGATGTTTTGATGCATTGTTTTCACGTTTGTTTTCATTTCAGGTGTAGTTGAGATCCTGTTATGTGCCCCGTTTTGTGTATTGCTTTGCTTCCTCAACATTATGTCGTAAACATTTGTGACAGGACCTCCTCAACCTTTCCTACACGAGGGAGCCCTTCTAGCCACACTTTATCCCCCAGAGACTCCTGAGACTGAAATTAAATAGAAGCTCCTTTTCTTTTACTGAATACTGAGGATTCTGGGCTGGAGTCGCCAACATTATGGTTCCTGAGGACCCGTTGCTAACTGGCCTCCTCGCCCCCTGGACGCCGAGCGGGTCTGGGGGCATGATAGAGAGGGGTCCAGCAGCAGGGCCAGCCTGCAGGGCCGCCCTCAGACTAGTGTCTGAGCCAGCCAGATCCAAAGCTAGTCACCAGATCTCCACCACACCCATCTCAGACGACTCTGGCACTTGTAGAAAATGGCACCCACGCTGCCCTTAGAAGCAGCGACCTTCTGGAGGGGTGGAGAAAGGGTGCCATAAACTGCAGGTGCCAGGATCTTTTCAGCGGGAGGCAAGATGCTTGAGTAAACAGGTCAGGAGCCAGACTGGCTTGGCGAGCTGGCAGGAGTGCCTCACGACGTGCCTGCTTCTGCTGTTCTTGTCTGGCGCTCAGAGTCGTCAGTCTTGGCCCCCCAGGCGCCGTACCTCCCACCCTGCTGCTGGCACACAGCTCGAAGCCTGTGAAGGCCCGGCTCTGATGGCCCTGCCTTTCAGCAGTGTGCACAGCGAAAGTGACCTGGTCCCAGGCAGCCTCTTGTTGTGCCTGCTTCCTCCTGGGAAGCCGTCGGCTCCTAAGGAGGTGAGGCGAGGGTGGGTGAAGGCCTGTTCTGGGGCTGACACGGAGCAAAGCAGAGGTACATGGAGTGTGGTCTCTGCTCTGGAGGACCTCCCAGCCTGGTGCAGGAGGCAGACAGGAAACAGCTCCTCTCCACGAAGCCGTGACATCGGGTTGCTCTTGAAGCCGAACCGAGTACTCTCAACCGGCCCGAACGAGGAGCCCTGAGCGGCCTCTCTCGCAGACCTCACCCCTGACACCTGCAGCAGACCAGGTTGGCCTGTTTGGCAGGTCCAGCTTTCCACTGCAGGGGACCCAGTGTCCCCTTAATGCGTCACTGACCTCCATTCCCAGCCTGCAGGGGGAGTTCTTCCAGGCACTGGAATCTGAGAGCAGTCCAGAAACAATCGAGAAACTGAGAGGGCCTCTTGAGGCAGCGTTGTGCTGTGTCAGCGTCCGAATTCCTGCTGACAGGGGGTTTGCAGTGGACAGAGCTGAGCTCCTGGCAGCAGGGGGTGGGCCGAACAAAGCCAGCATGCTTCCAGACAGCCATAGCAGACCCAGACAGCAAGCATACTCCGTGCGTGCGTGCGTGCGTGCGTGTGTGTGTGTGTGTGTGTGTGTTTAAACAAGCCCATCAGCCAAGACAAACAGAACCTAATCTCCTGGCATCAGCTCACAGTTTTCAAAAATAGGTTGCTTCCCATGACGTTTTCCTTCCCTCTGTTTTGTTCCAACTCCAAGCCTACCAGCCCTCCCTGCTATCATATAAATCAAACAGAGAAGGAACGACTAGACTCCGGGTGCCAGTGGGAGGCTGGCCTTCCAACACGGGAGATTCAGGAGTTGGGCAGCTCTGTGTGAACAGCCACGGCTCTCCTTGCCACTGGCCTCGCTCCTCAGTCATTCTTGACATCTTCCCTCTTCTTCTTCCTGGGACAGTTGGAGCCAGCTGGGCAGGGGCTCCCAAAGGCCAGGGCCACCCCAGACAGCGAGACTGCCACATGGGAAAATGCCACCATCTGCTTGGAAAGTGATGGGATTGGAATGTGCCCCGAGGACCCCTCAGTTGAGCTGGAGGGCAGCCAGATTGCTCAGGGTAGAAGAAGCTGTCCAGAGCTCACAGTGCTGGCCAGGGCCATGGAAATAAACCCATTTGTCACCACCCCAGATGTTCACGCCAACAGAAGCTGCTCCCGATTGGAGTGTAAGCTGCTGGGTAGGAGGAGATGCAAAGAGAGGAAATTGTAGGTGTCGGTCCCGGGACGCATCGGTGTGGCGACCATAACCACGGGCGGGAACGTCCCAATTGTTTCCTGTGCCTAGCAGAGCATTTTCAGGTGTGGCCTTGAGCAGAGCCACAGCGAACCTCAGCAGGAGAGCCATTTGCTTCAAGGGAAGCGGAGGCCACTCCTCATGCTGTGCTGTCAGCGTAGCCGGAGACCCTGAGGGAAACTGAGGCAGGGTGCCCAGAGGGAACACTGTGCCGTGTGGGATCCTCCACTCCCTGAGCTGGGAGAGTCGTCCTGGGCAGTCCGGCTCCACACATGTGCTCGGATTCCACCTACAGCGTGTTGCCTGGTGTCCCTGCCTCATCTTTCTTAACATCTTCTTGACACGACAGGCTGTTCACGTGAGCCCATGGAAGCACTTGGTTTCCAAACGCACGTCCTAGTTAGACTTTGGGAAGCGCCACGGCGAGGCAGAAAGAGCCACTGGGTTCACATCCAGGCCCTCCCGCTGACAGGCTGGGCGATACTGGGCCAGTCGCCTACCCCTCAGGGCCCAGAGTGATCACACTCAGCTTAGAAGGGTAGGAATCGTCCATTTGAGGTGGCGCACAGGCCCATCATACGCAAGTTGGAGCCCCCTGTGATTACCATCGGCACCCCCTTCTATACAGTGAGCTAAAGTCTGTCTCCCTGTAGCTGCTACCCTGGTCTGTCATCTTTAACGACAGAACAAAACAAAGTCTTCTTTGGCAAGGTGGGTCCTTAAATGTTTGAGGACTGCCATAAGCCCTTCCACGGCCCAGTCTCTGTGTGGGACAAACGTGGCTGTTGGCCACCCACCTCGTAGATGACCTGTCAGTCCTCAGCAGGAGTCGGATGCTGTAAATCGAGAGCATTTCCATCAACACAAAACCTTCCATCTCTTTCTCATATGGCCGGTAAGCCAGGTCTTCCCCCCATCCTGTGTGTGGGCACTTGGGTCCGGGCCTGAAATTTGAGACTGCATCTGTGTCTGTTAGAGTTCACGTCCTTAGCCGCAGCCCGTGAGTCCAGTGTTTGAAATCTTTAAAGATCCCGAGGCTGTCATTCGGTATTCTCTGTCTCTCCCAAATTAGCCTCTTGAGCTTTGTCTTCAAATAGTAATAACTTTTAATTAATCCAGTGATGCCAAAATTGGGCATTCCTACGTGGCCATCCGTCAGATAATAAAAGAAGCCCTCCTCCACATTGTTTCTTCAAGTAGCAGATGGTATATCCCCTCTTGCGTCTTGCATCATTTCAGCAAAAACCAGGATGTCCAGGACCATTTTCTCTAGAGAAATCTAGTTTATTCTACATGTTTAGCTTCATTATCCCCCCTTCTCTTCAACAAAGAGTTTCTCCTCCTTCCTCCCCCCTTCCTTTGCAGCTATAGAAAAGAGATCTTCAGGACCTTGTTCCGTGGTCCTTAGAACTTGGAGAGGGTTCAGAGGAAATCCATAAAGATGATTAAAAGATTGTTTTATGAGGTGGGGATGAGAATGTCCCTTGAAGAAAAGATAAAGGCATTGGGATTAATTAGACAGAAAGAGGATATTTTAATACGTTCTGATCGATGGAGGGCTTTCGCACAAAGAACACTGACCAGCTGTTCTCCTCCTCTGTTGAGAAGCCGAAATCTTCAGCACGTAGGAAATTCCTGTCCTGGCTGTTGCACAGTGGGAAGGATGACCTGGGCAAGACTTCGGGCCAGAAGAAAGTCGCTCCGTTTGGTTGGTTTAGAGATGGAGGTAGGCAGAGGAAGGTCTCCCCAACTGCGCCTGCCCTGGGTCTGGCTGCGTGTGACCCCATGAAGGTCATGCAGGCGGCCAGCTGGTGGTTGGTGGCAGAAATCTCAACATTCTGGTTCTTCCCTCCCCTTTGATCTCTGTCTTTTTTCTCACTGTTTATTTATTTTAAGACGATGGGAGCTCCGGGGTGGCTCAGTCACTTAAGCATCCTACTTTGGCCCGTGTCTTGATCTCGCGGTTTCTGAGTTTGAGCCCTGCGTCAGCTCTCTGCTGTCAGGGAGGAGCCTCTTGGGATCCTCTGTCTCCCTCTGTCTGTGCCCCTACTCCGTTCTTGTGCTCGCTCTCTCCCTTTCAAAAATAAACAAACATTAAAAAAAAAAAAAAAATGATGATGACCTAGGGTCACGTTCAGTGCTGGCTGGCTCATTCAGTGGAGCTTGCAACTCTTCGTCTTGGGGTTGTGAAGTTCGAGCCACATGTTGGGTGTGGAGATTCTTTAAAATTAAACAGAAAAAGAAGGTGGTGACTTAAAAACTTGAAGGAAGGAGATGGTAAAACTTTCTCTGTGCAGAGACCCTTGGACATCCTTGATTTAGAAGCTCCAGGCCAGACTCTCTGGGCCAGTTTAGGCAAAGCTCTTTGGGAGGTGCCTGGGGACCTCTCTTGGGTTGGGCCACAGAGGCTTTGCCCATGGGGTGGGTCGGGGGCCATCTCACTGCCCACGCCAGCTGGAGGCTGTGGGAGCAAGGCAGCAGATGCAAGCTCAGAGCAGGTGTTTCTGGTTCCTGCAGTTCATGAGATCACACATTCTCTGCCCTTGCGTCTCATTCTTCCCAAGAGCTGAGTCGTAATGTTAGAGCCAGGAGACCTCTCAGAAATCATCTAGCACTTTCCAAACGCCTCTGTCAAGTAATGGAACCCTTTTCTCCACCAGTAAAATTCTCCAGAGAACTGCAGTGTTTATTTATTTTGAGAGACAGCGTGTGAGAAAGCACAAGCGGTGGATGGGCAGAGAGCGAGGGGGGAGAGAGAGAGAGAGAGAGAGAGAGAGAGAGAGAGAGAGAGAGAATCCCCAGCAGGCTCCTGCCATGTCAGTGCAGACCCAGACTCGGGGCTCGGTTCCGTGAACGTGAGGTCACGACCTGAGCAGAAACCAAGAGTTGGGTACTTAACCGACTGAGCCACTCAGACACCCTTGTACTGTTTAAAATAGATAAAAGCTGCCGTGGGGTGGGGTGTCCCAAAACCCCATGCCGTGGAGGCACTTTAGTGGCACTCTGCAGAGCTTCAGCACTTCTCTGACCCCCTTTTCCTTCCCCGGAGAGAAACCGTTCCAGAGGGTGCTGGAGGCTCTGAGAGCTGATCTAGTCAGTCGTGGCCGCTTGCTGCCTGCCACTTGGTTCCCAGCACACGGGAGGGCCTGGGCTCCGTGGCGGAGACTGAATCCAGCCCTGCCCTTTTTCATCTAGTGGTTCTGTGCTTTGGGCATCTGGAGCCATGTTACTGAGACGCTCCCTGCCACCTTCTGAGGGATCTGGTTTGGTTCTCCGTGGGTTCCGGTAGACCATCCTTGAGGGCTGCTCTACGTTCTGAGGCTTCCAGTGGTTAGGGTGGGAGTAAGGGCTGGTCTTCACTTATTTGAGGCTCTGATGGAGGGGCTCTGGCGACATGGGGCCGCAGCCCCGAGTAGAGGTATGTCCAGAGTGCTGTGGAAGTCTTGAGAAGGTTGGGGTTGGGGGGGAGTCTCCAGAAAAGATCGAGCTCCTTTGGCTCCTCATAGATCTTTGGCAAACACCTTAAGTGCCGGTCTCCTCTATACCAGGCATGCCCTCACCCAGGGAGAGGGAGTGACAGGGTGGCCCAGGAAGGGGTCCTGGCAGACAGCAGAGAGGCAGGCGCTGCGCCTCTTTGCTCTGTCCACTGCCCGGCCTCCTGTGTCTCCGGGCTCCGTCTTTCCCACTCCTCCATTCCCATGCTCTTTGGCTAGTCTCTGGCGTGTCTTCCAAAGCGCTGGGCAGGATCTGCTACCCGAGAATGGCCAAGCGTCTTTTTTCTTTTGGTTGACGGGGGCTGGTCTTTTAAAGTTCATCTAAATCCGTGTTTCCTTCTCGGCCCTAAGCAGGTGCTCCTTGAACTCTAACAGTGTATTAGAAATACTACAATCATTTATACCGTTCACGTCAGTCCTGGCTCCTGGAATCCTTCATGCGACCTACTGTGATGGCTTCTTTCATAAGTGCCTCTGTGGGCTTTTGTTTCGTTTCGTTTTGTTTTATGTTGATGGCCTGGCTTCATTTTAGCCCTCACTCATGAGCGTACTTTGTGTCTGTAATTTGGGTTTCCACTGGGCCTTTGGCTTTGACTGTTCCTGTGGTGACTGGATTTGACCTGTGAGTGTCCACCAGCATCCATGGCAGTTAGTGTGACAGTCCATCACTCGAGTTCTGGAAAGGCTCCAAGTCCCAGGCCAGTTCCTGAATGCCCCTCTCCTGGCCGGCCTGGGGATATGAGCCATTCACAATGGTAGAGAGTGGCCATTTTGTGGTATTTCACTCTTTACTGGACATAATGTCTTGTGCAATTCATTGTTGGTATTTGCCTCTTGTTATTCAGACACATGGCTGTATGTTTATAAATGCTTACTACTGGGTCACTGCGGCCTGGGATGAGTCCTGGAGAGGGAAAATTAGATTCTAGGTGAAGGAGAATTCCCCATTCTCTGAGTGGAGAGAGTGCTAGGTAGAAGGCTAAGCTGATGTGGATAACTGAGTGAGGACAGTGATGGGGAGCTGGTGGTTTGCATGCACCGAGGACTCAGAGCACCGTAGAGTCCAGGCCCCCATCCTTCTTCCTCCAGCCTCAGCCTGCTTCTGACCTCCCCTCCTCTGCATCTCCTGCTGGTGGGAATGCCACTCCCTGCCTGGGCTGATCTGGCCAGGGCTCAGCTGGCACCGGAAGTAGGGAGGTAGGGAGAGAGCTTGGGGGTAGGGAGAGAGGAGTTTTGACTATCCAGTGATTTGCTGGGAGCCTCCTATTTCCAGGATGATCCTACCTTCTCCCAAACAAAGAATGGGGGTCTTAGGAGAACCAAGAGTGGGAATCTGTTCATAGAAAAAATTAGAAGGTCTAGACACTGGGCTTGCTGTCCCTAGAACCAAGAGAAACATTAGCATTCTAACTCTACAGAGGGCCAGCAACTGGGTAGACCCATGACCAAGGCAGTGTTTCCATAACCAGAGAGACCGGGCGCAACAAGCCAGAGAATCTCCAGATGAAGCTGTTTTTCTGCCGGTAAACACCAGACTAGTTTGTACCCAGCTGTCCAAATCTAGATACCTTCTGTCTTGGAAATTACAGCTGGAGTGGGGTGATTCTGGGCTGACCCACGTGGGCTGAGCTGCTTTCCTCAGCTGCCTCCGCTCTTGGGGAAGCAGCCCCCGCAGGCCAAGCAGCCAGGGGAGGGGTGACAGCAGAGGCCGTGTCCAGGCCTGGTGTCTGGCTGGTCATGGTCTACTTATTCTGTGATGGACAGGTCCGTCGAAGTCCCGACCTTGCTCTTACCTGCAGGATCAAGCCTAGGACACGCATCCCCCTTCAGTGGTGAAGCAAGAATGTGTGTGTGAATGCGTGTAAGGGAGCACTACTTCGGTGCCTTGGACCGAGTGTGGACAGAAGGAATGCAACTTGCCTTCAGTAATTCTCCCTGGAGCATTTAGGGAGTAGCTCCTACATGTCAGTCATGGGTACTGGAGAAACAGGGACAAAGGATGCCCTCAAGAAGCTTCAGTGTAGAGTGTAGGGCATGAGGCAGAGCAGGAGCCTGGTCATAACGCCCCATATGCAGTGAGCACAGTGTTACAGGGCGCCATTGGGTGCCTGGATTCCCTGCTTTGCGTTTGGCCACCTCTGTGGTCCACTCGGCAGATAATTCCTGGGCCTTTTCCCTGCATGTAGCTCCGCACAGGGCATGAGGGGGAATAAATGGTGGCACCTCCCTCATGGAGTTTATGGTCTAGTGGGAGGGGAAACCTAGTTCTAGCCAAGTTCTGGACAAAATACAGAGCTGAACAGAGATCGTGTGTGTGCAGTGAGTAGAGCAGTGACTTCTACCAGAAACATTTCAAAAAGAGGTGGTTTTGAGGCCGAGCTGTGAGAAGGAAGGACCTCTGCCCCTGCCCTCAGCCCCTTCATTCACTGGGTCATCAGCTGCCTCCTGCGTCTAGGTGGGCAGGGACAAGCTGTCCCCTGCCCCCTTCATTCACTGGGTCATTAGCTGCCTCCTGCGTCTAGGTGGGCAGGGACAAGCTGTCCCCTGCTTCGCCCCCATTGGGACTTGGAGCTTTTGTCCTTAGGCTCTTCCTGTACTCAGGGATGCTGCAGGGACAGTCTGGGATACAGGATGGCAAGGAGCCCTGGCAGGTAGGTGAGGGAGCTCCACAGGCAAGTTTCAACGAGAGCCTGAGTCAGGTTGCCATCTGGAGCAGGAAAAGCCTGCGGTAGTCAGGCTATAAAGTGGTAAGGGTCTGTCTTCAGAGGGATAGTCCTTCCAGGGGTAGAGAGGGCCCCAGTGGTGACTGGGAGTTCATGAGAGTCATCAGCTGGGAAGAAACATCAGGGCTTGCTGAGCTGAGACCTCAGCGAAATGTCAGACGCGCCACCGAAATACACCTGGTGTGGTCGTGCTGCCGGGAGTGTAAAATGAACTGATCTCTTTCTTTGGAGGGTCTTCTGCTGTTACCAGTCTGTGTTCTAAAGGACCACGCCCTTTCACCCAGAAATTCCACTTCTAGTAGCTTGTCCTGTGGAAGCACTGGCACAGATGCAGGAGCACGTGTGTGTGCGAATGTTCCTTGGTGCTGTGTTTGGGCCGGCCAAAAAGAGGCCTCAGCCTGAATGCCCAGCAGTTGGGGGGGGGGAAGGGGAGGTGTATTACAATAACACGAAGGGACGAGGCCGGCTGTACAAAGCCGTGGGAAAAAAGGTGGTCAAGAGTATTTTGCTGAAGAGAAAAAGCAAGCTGCAAAGAATCCTGTTCTTAGATGTAAGGAACGGTCTGCGCAAACACGTACCGATGTACGTACGACGGCTAGCTGTGGACGCTTGTCTGTCTATTGAACAAGAGCTTACTTCCCCTGCGGTGACAGGAGGCAGAGAGGAGCCTTCCACTTTGCATCCCACCCACGTCCAGCTTTCTGGACAAGCGTGCACTCTTTTTGTGACTTTTAAGAATTGGCGCACATTTTCCCAAAGGAAATGGAATGTGACCAAAAGCGTCCCCAGCAGGCTAGCCAGAGGCGCATGTGTTCCCTAGGAGCTGAACAGGACCTGCCGGGCCATGCAGCAGCGCATCGTGGAACTCATCTCCCGCGTGTCCAACGAGGAGGTCACCGAGGAGCTGCTGCACGTCAACGATGACCTCAACAACGTCTTCCTCCGCTACGAGAGGTGGGGGTTAGGGCCCTTCTTCTCCCTGGGAAAGGCTGGTGCCCTGGCAGAGGGATTTCTTTCCTCAACAATGGAGAGAGGGGGAGGGAGAGATTAGAGTTGGAAAACGGTCATCAGAGATGCTAATATGTTCCCCGGCTGACTGGGAAAATGCTTCTCTGGTTCTCCTGGGAACCGGGCCGGCTGGGCGGAAGGTGACGTGGGGAATTCGGCTCTGCCCTTTGCAAGCCTCAGGCCGCCCAGCCTTCCCCAGTACCCCCAGCCCCTCGAGGGTGGGGAGGGCAGGGCCCCAGAGCTTCGCACCTGCTCCTTTGAAGATCCTTTGAGTTTGAAAAGGATTAAGGGGGGGGGGGCGGGGGGGATTCTCTACTAAGGAAAAAAGATTTCCTCTTTCCCATCTTTAAAAAAAGAAGAAAAAGATTTTTCCCTCCCTTTGCAAATGTCAGTGTGTCTAGAGTGTTCCAAAGAAGGCAGGGTGTAAGTGCCGGATGCTGCTGCTTAGGGAAACACACACACACACACACACACACACACACACACACACACACACACACACACACACACACATTCACATGCGTACATGCACGTTCATTTGAGTTCTTTCTGCAGCCAAATCATTTTTGGATTTGAGGTAACCAACTTGAAAATTCTTTTCCTTTTCCAAAGCCTCCCCCGGGAGCAGCAGTTGTCAATAGGAGGTAATGGCAGGTACAGCTCCCAGATCATCACTCCGGTGCCTGTACCTTGGGCTTCCCCCCAGTGAAGGCACCAGAAAGCACCTTGACCAGGCCAACCTTCTCCTAAGTCTGAGGCCCTCGGAGACATGGGGCCCTGGCATCAGTTAGGGTCAGTGTGACAGATAACTTGCATCTAGGGGACTTCGAGGGTGATTTTGCTCTGGGTGTCCCAGCCCTGGGCCTCGTCTCAGCTTTGACTGTGATAGTAGGGATGGGGCGGGGGGTGGTCCTTTGTCCATCTGACAGACAAAAAAACCTCTGCAGTAAGAATGTGGAGCTACCCAGGAGCCTCGTGTGTCTGTTGGAGATGAGGAGCAGATCTGGGGTGCCTCAACTCCCAGCCCGAGACCCCTCGGTTTTGTCATGTGGTTCTGGTTTCTCTACTTTTAATGGGCGTGGCCTTTCACCTGTTAAACCCATTTCAGCCCCTCCTAGGATAGGAAGAACGGCTAAAGTGGGCATTTTCCCGAGTCTACCATGCCCAGTCTGACCACAAGTTCAGAAGCAAAGCCTGGGCCAGCAGCCCTGAGGTACCATTCTGGCTTGAGACCTTTTGATAAGACTAATCGTCCCTCGAAGATTGTGGGGGAAAGGTACCCCAGGATTAGAAACTTTTCCTTCTCCTTATAGGCCATGGCTCATAAAAACACACAAATCTTTCTTGAGACCACAGTGGATACACATCGCCTAACCAGATAGTCCTTCCTGGGGATCACTGGTCACCAGGCACAGACCCCAGCCAGTGGGGAGACCCATGTGGAAGGACAGCAGATCTCCATAAACCCTGCTGTCTCTAGCCTCTGGCTGGAGAAAGTCTCTTAGCCACTGCTTTGCCCATGACGTTTTGGAACTCTTAAGTGCAAGGGCAGCCTACACACGTGCCTCACAATTGCTCTTGTGTTCCCACCTGGTGTGAGAGTGACTTGGGTATGCCACAGGAGAGGCTCACTGTGGTCACTCCAAGCTGAGTCCCATCCTCAGCTACTGGGGAGTCTTCTGGCCCTGCCAGGGGCCTGTGCTTGTCTTCCTCCTCTGGCTGTCTGCCCTGTGTGCACCCCTTTCCACCAGCAAGCTGAGCTGGGGGCATTTTAGCGACACAGGCTAATCACTCCTAGTGCAGCTCTGTGAAATAGGGAGGGGGCTGCGCGTCTCTCCTGGCTTTGCAAATAGACCTCTGGGCATCCCCCAGGTAAAGTGGTTGGCCCAGCCACCCCCTCTAGGGGCAAGAGGGGCACTCTGGGCCCAGGATGTGAGGGGACAGCTGGGAAAGCTTTTGGTCCCCTGGATGTGCCAACCAGCACCTTCCTCCCTCCCCTCAGCCGGCTTGTGGGTGAGCCTGGAGGCTGGTTCTCCTCCAGGGCAGCGCCCCCTACGGAGGAAGGCGTGGTGAAGTTGTGTGTGGGGAGATCCACTTTCCCTGGTCCCCAGGTGGCCCCGATTGGTCTCCTTTCCTGGAGGCTCTGTCCCCAGGAGCTGTTCACGGGACCAGGGAGCATCACTGTGCCACGTCATGCCCCTTACTCTGCTTTTTCCCTTCCCCATTAGGTTCGAACGATACAGGTCAGGCCGATCAGTTCAAAATGCCAGTAACGGAGTAAGTATTCCTTCAGAATTGTCTCATCTCCAGAGGCTGGGAGGCCTATCTCCATTCTGTCTCACCTTTGGTTTTTCTAATTGGGACTTCAATATTTGAGCAATTAGGGGCGCCTGGCTGGCTCCGTCTGTAGAGCGAGCGACTCTTGATCTCGGGGTCATGAGTTCAAGCACCGCATTGGGGGTAGAGTTTACTTAAAAAAGAAAAAAAAAAAAGAGCAAGTTCAGGGCGCCTGGGTGGTTCTGTTGGTTAAGCGTCTCACTTTGGCTTGGGTTACCATCTCGCGGTTCATGAGTTCGAGCCCTGCATCTAGGTCTGTGCTGGCAGTTTGGAGCCTGCTTGGGATTCTTTCTCTCCCTGTCTCCTTCTCTCTGCCCCTCCCCCCCCCCATTTGTTTGTATGTGCCCTTTTTTTCTCTCTCTCTCAATACATAAATAAGCTTCAGGAAAAAAAAGTACAGAGCAAGCTCTGGTTGGTGGGATACTGAGGAAGAGCTAACAGGCACATTCCTGGCAGGAGGGTGGCAAAGAAGCCCCAAGTTACAGCTCCTGGGACAGTGACTGTCCTGGTGGCTGGTTCAGCCCTGCCTCCTTTGGTGGGGGGAGGAGCCAATGCAGAGCTCACTAACATCCAGGCCCACCATGCACCCTTGAAGTTCCCTGAAACCCAGGTGAGGGAGACTGCCTTGTTCCTGTATTGGGGAAACGTCGATGCTTTTCCTCGGGGACCATGCATGATGCCTGCTGGCTTTGGAGCCCCGAGGCTCACCGCTGTCTTATTCTCTGGCAGGTACTGAACGAAGTGACTGAAGACAACTTAATAGACCTGGGGCCGGGGTCTCCAGCTGTGGTGAGCCCAATGGTGGGGAACACGGCACCCCCATCTTCTCTCTCCTCCCAGCTTGCAGGCTTGGGTAAGTGTCTCATAGGGACAAAGAGGGTCTCCTTTGCAGGCCACTTCGTAATTGTGAGTCTGGGCTGAGGGTCCATTTCTCTCTCTCTGTTGGAAGTCCCAGAGAGAGCATTTTGAGGAATCTGTGGGAAAGTGTATTCCTGAGGCCTGGCCAATTGTACCATTTTTAGTTCATGACTCTTGTCCCTAAACTTAAAAGTTTAAACCTGTGTTGGAAAGAAGGGGTGGAGGGAGTTCCAAGGAACAGGAAGTTGTTTGCTTTAAAAGAAAGGTAGCTGCTGTGTTTTATCTGGAATATTCCATGTGGTTAAAGTGATTGTCTTCTCAATATAAATTAGGCCAAGGATGGCAAATAGGTTTTAGCTCATTGGCTACTTGGGACACAGGCCTAAGAAGGATGCTGAAGCCACATCAGAGCTTGGAAGATGAGTCTGTAGTTGATTGGTAATGTCTGCCACAGACTTGGAAGTAGGAACTGATACATTTGCTCTCCTTGAACTAACATCAGCCTAAAGTGCTCCACTGCCTGAAACCTAAAACAAAAGAAACTCACCACTTTTCCACTTCTCTGTTTGAAAGTGTGTATATGATTCTAGATGCTGCAAATACGCTGGACGATACGAATCTATAACAAAATGACAGTATTGAAATAATAATGCATGGCCCTTGCAAAATTCTGTCTTGCTTTTTTCTGTTTCCTTTTTTTTTCTTAGTATTTCTCTTTATACCTTTATTCCATTTCAGTCAAACAGGGTTTTTATTTAGTGGCCTGTCAGTTACTATAATCCTGGCTTCTCGGCATCTCATATATTTGTAGCTACTGTTTTTCTTTCGGAACAGATTTCTCTGCCTTGAATCTATCCAGCATATGGCCACCATATTTAAAATCCAAAATTCAAACTGAATTCTGCTGTCTTCCTTCTTTTCTTTTTTTGAATGTTTATTTATTTTTGAGAGAGAAGGAGAGAGAGAGAGGGAGACCGGATCGGAAGGGGGCTCTGCACTGAGAGCAGAGAGTCTGATACGGGGCTCGAAATCACAAACTGTGAGATCATGACCTGAGCTAGAGTTGGACACTTAACTGATGAGCCACCCAGGTGCCGTAGCTGCCTTCCTTCTAGTGTTCAGTCTCTGTCCACAAGCATTTTTCATTTCACACACCCTGGACTTCAGGTTCTGTACCTTGGTACTTACCTTTCCCCCTTCTCCCTGCAGCAGAGTCCACTTGGCCTTCAAGCCCCACTGTTGGGTCAGTTTTGAGTCTTTTCCAGTGTCTCAAGCTAGGTGCTGGTATTGTCTGGCTGGCTCCCACCTACTCATTACACTCCTTTAGGCCGAGGACCATGTCACATTCAGTTTGGTGCACGCAGGAGCTGGCTCTGAACGTGGTGGGTGCCTGCAAAATATTTGTCCAGTAAATACGTGACCCAGGCCCTTAGATATCCTGACAGAGTTAGTGAGGCACACACTGGTCAGAGAATTGTGGGAAATCTGCAGGGGTACTGGCCCTGGGCCCCTCCCCACCGCCAGCAGTCTCGCTTCCATTCATGAGGACTCTTTGCCCACCTTGAGTAGCCTGGGGGTGGGTGAGGGTCCGTGGCTTTTCTGTCCCCCATCTGGGTCCCACCGTGGCTCCTCCTGCATGTGGTGGGCTGGGAGTGCAGAGGAGAGGCCTATGTTCCCCCTGCCTGACCCAGAACTCTAACCTGCCCACTGGCTTCCTAACTTGGAGATCCTTCATTAAGCCCACGGGCCACATTTTATTCTCCCCCTACCCTCCTCTGTTTTGTTGCCGCAGACTTGGGGACAGAGAGCGTCAGTGGCACCCTCAGTTCACTCCAGCAGTGTAATCCCCGTGATGGCTTTGACATGTTTGCCCAGACGAGAGGGAACTCCTTGGCCGAGCAACGCAAGACGTATGTGGGGACCGTTTCAGTGGCTCTCGGAAGGTATTGGGGGAGGATTGATCCAGGCCTGGTCACAGGCCAACACAAAGACGCCTTTTATTTAGCAGATCCAGGACTGCCAAGAACGTTGAAATATGGCTGCGAAGACTTGGCAATAGGCACAGATTTTGAATGAACACCAACCCCCCCCCCCCCCCCCCCCCCCCCCCCCCAACCCCCACCTCCCCGCCTTGGGGTTGATTGTAGTCGGATCTCTCCCATCCGCAAGAGAGTGCTCCTCATTCTCTCTGCTCCCTGTGCTGCTGCTGAAGAGGAACTAGGAGCTAGGAGGGTGCAGCCGGGCAGGGCCTAGCAGCATGGTTTTCCTGCCCGAGTGTGTGGGCAGAGGCTTCCCTGACGGCAGCTCTGGCCAGGATAAGCCATGTGAAACTGGGGAAATTGATCCTAAAATAGACACCGTCCCCCGCATCTCAGGGAGGCATAGACACATGCTTGGAGCTTCTTGTTCAGCCTTAAGGCAGGCAGGTGCTTTCTTGGAGCCCAGCACCTCAGCTTTCTGAGTCCCACGCTCAGGCATCAACAAGTTGACCAGAAACCCAAGGCTGCCATGCACCTCTCACCAGCACAAGTTGCTTTTAACAGCAGAAGAGGTCAGAATGCAGAGGGAGAGAACCTCCACGGTCAGTGACAGACCCCAATCCCAGACCGTGAGACCACCTTCCTTGTCAGATGCTACCGAGGCTGCCGCTTCTGAAATAATATTACTTGCAGCGTCAGGGCACTTCTGACGTCCCGTCACTGGGCTTTAGAGATGCCCTGGTATTGTTACTTGAGAGGAACAAATGAGGTGTATGGTGTCCCAGACCCCAGAGGAAATGAGGGGCTGAGCCAGTGCTGGGACCGTAGCCTCCGCCCGAAGGCCAAGTCTGCGGGAAACTAGAAAGTGATTATAGGTCACCGCCATGTCCCCTGGGACCACTGGGGTGGGTACTGACTGCTTGTGTTGCTTGTCTCCAGGGTAACCTACGAGGACCCCCAGGCTGTTGGAGGACTCGCTTCTGCACTAGATAGTCGGAAACAGAGCTCCGAAGTGGTAGGTCTTTCACCCTGTTTACCTGCCCAGAGTCCTCCGGAGGGCAAGTCGGGCAGCGTCGTAAAGCTGGCGGGGTAATGAAGCAGAAGCTGGGTTGCATGGAGGGCAGGGCACACTGGGGGAGACGGGCGTGAGAGCACTGTGTTGCCTCATTGCGTCCTCACTCCAGCCCGTGGGTGATGCCCACCCAGTCAGCTTTCCCATGAAGCCCAGAGCCAGACGGGCCCAGAGAAGGGACAGCACGCTCTGGGCACCGAGTGTGGATGGCAAGTGGGGGTCCGTCCTAGGAGGTCCAGCTCCACAGCCCCTTGTCTTCCTACCTTGATGGCCCTGAGCTCTCAGGGCGCAGGTCTCCTACAGCCAGATAGGGCCTCTTCCCAAATGTTACACAGACCTAGGGGTGGGCAGTGCTCCGACAAAATAACGGCCCTTACAAGGAAGGGAAATGCTCACCTGAGCCGCATCTCTGCTGATCATTTGTAGTTGGCCTAGAGAAGCAGTACCAACCCACTAGAAGGCAGCTGATGGGCAGGATTTGTCTGGGGATCTGGGGCTGGGGGAGGGAGGAGCAGTGGGTGGAGGCCAGGAGGGTGCTCTGGGCAGCTCCGTGTCTGGAAGGAGCACGGCTAAAGGCAGAGGTGCTTGGAAGTGGAGGGTGGTGCTTGTTTGAGCCCCAGATGGCAGCTGTGGATTCTGTACGATTTCAGGTCACTGCAGGGGAAAGAATTTGTGTCTTAATGCTTCTCATGAGATCGTACCCCTTTTCGCCTAGGAATGCGTGTGGCTGTGTGTGAATGAGCGTCTGTTTGCAGGGACGGGGAGGGGGAGAGCTGTGGGGATAAGGGCCCCGGAACGGCTGGACCTCTTGTCAGGGTCCCCCAGCTGGGTTAGAAAGGAGCAGTGCTCATCTGCCCACTGGACGGGGAGGTTTGCTTCAGAACAACGGTTTTTGGGCTCCTGCAGCCCCTGTCCAAATGGGCCCAGGCAGGCAGCAGTCTGCAGCGTGGTTTCTGGAAGAAGGTTCACCCTGGGGAAGGGACTTGTCCCTCTCTTCTGGCTCAGCCAACTGGGTGTGAGGGGTGTGCGGCCCTCTGCACTGGTCACTAGGCGGCACAGAAGAGCCAGCCCAACTGCCTCAGGTCTCAGCACCCTGCCTTTCCACCCCTGGGACCCGGACTCCCCAAATCTGCGTAGTGGTCGTGGCTCCATTTCTCCCATTACTTAGAATGTGTCCCCCCCGAACCGAGAGAGGGTGTTAGGAGGGCCCACCACCGGGCTGAGGCCACCAGCACACTGCCAGGTGAGGACATTTCCTCCTGGCCCACCCTGACCTGGCCTGTAGCTCTGTCCCTCAGCCAGGCCAACTTGGTTTGCTTCCCACTCCGTCCCCAGGGCCTGCCCCCATCCGTGCCAGGGTGTGCCACCTCTGCTGTTCTTAGTGCTTAGGCCTGGATCCAAGCTCAGGAGATGTGGCCAGCCTCCCGCCCTTCACCCTTTGGGCGTGTGGCTTGGCCCATCTCCCTGTTTTCAAAGATCTTGATGACTCCAGCATGTTTTCCACCTGATGGCAGGCAGATTACTTTCATGTTTACTGCTCGACGAGGGGAAGCAGGGCTTGTGGTGCCTGTGTGCCTGTGTCCGTCTGTGTGAGTATATGTGTGTATATGAGTATATCCCTGTCTGTGTGCGCCGCGTCTGTGTCTTCGTATATGTGTGTGTGCACACCCTCACTCACATGCATCTTGAGGCCAGTATTTCAGGTCATGATGTTCCATATCCTAAACCGTACCGACCTGGATACGAGAACTGGGCCAGAGGAGAAATTAAGAACACAGTGAAGGGGAGAAAATTGTATAGCCACACCTCCACAGTGCAATCCAATCAGAAGTCTTAACTTTAAATACCTTTGTGACTTCAGAAAGAGCAGTATGCCCGAATTCAGTGTTCAAGTTAAGAGTTTGGAAAAAGAACACCCAAGGAACTGAGAAGGAGGAAAAAAAAAAAAAAAAGCAGAAATAACTTAGAAAAAAAAAGGAGAAATGATTTGGTAAAAGCTGGCTCTTTGAAAAGTTGACCCTTTGCCAATTCCGAGAGCCCTAATCAGGAGAAGCGGCCGTGGCCAGCCTTCTGTGACCTCGTGGAGATTTTCCCAGTGTGTGGGAATAGTTGGCATGAGTTTATGTTACCCTGTTGGGATTTTTGGTTACTAAACTTCTCTTTTCCAGAAAGGTAAGGGGGACATGCTGGAGGGGGGCGGGGGCAATGGGTCACATCTCCTTACGTGACAAAAGATCAACTCTCAACAGTGACTTTTCCATTTCCATGATGTATACTGTTGCTTTCTTTATCCTGGGTTTTGCTGTGACTTTTCTTTCTGGGACTTTTCTGTCCTCGGCCCAGAAGAGAGGTAAAGGTGGGGACTCTGACCTGGAGCCCATAGACAGCTGGCTCATAACCCAAGGAATGGTGAGAGGTCACCAGCTTGAGCCGAGCCCCCTGTCTACCCCAGCGCTTACCTGTGTCACCTGCTGAGCCCTTGTGAGTCAGACAGTACAAGGCCGTTCTCTCCTAATGACTGGGTGCCAAATTTCCCCCTGCCAAAATGTCTTCTTGTGTTTGTACAATCTCCTTAAGCCACAGACTTTCAGTCCTAGAAACGCCTCTGGTTTTCTGCTAAGGTCCGTGCCCCTGGGCCTTAAGGGTCTGGGACATCTGTGGAAGTGAGGGGAGGGCCCTCTCCCTCCTTTTACTGTCTCTGGAGCTCTCGGCAGTATTCGCTTTTCCAGGATGAGCACAAGTTACTGTGGCTTTTGCTTATTGTTAGGAGGGGACATTTCTAAGAGAACAGACTCAAAAGCACCTGATCAATTGGAGAAGCCCCCTCCAGCCTCTAGATCTGGCAGTCCTAGGCTGATGGGTTTTTATAATGGAGTAAATGTGTGCCCACTACGTCCCCCAGAAGAATTTGAGACATCCTAAACACACAAACACAATAGAACAGAATAAAAAGAAGACAAAGCCAGGGGAGTTGAATATCATCAACACAGTTCTCATCAAGTAGAGCTTTTCTGCCACAGAGACCCGAGTGGGCCTCTCCTGCCTCATCTGATCAGGTAGGTGGCCCCGAGTCTGCTACAGAGAGAGAGGGTGACCTCGTTCCAGGCCACTTGCCTCGGCGTGATGATTACACTCCTAATGAAGCCACCGTCCTCGCCTAGCACCTCTAACATAGAGACCAAAGGTCTGTGCGTGCGTGCGTGTGTGGCAGGGCTGGAGCAGGAGAGGGTGCACAGAGGGAGGGACGATAGAAGCAGTCAGGCATCAGCCTCCGGGGTGGAGCCAGGCAGACACTAGACACATACTGGGGAAGAAGCGTAACCGACCCCTGGAACCCGGGCCAGGCTGTGGCCGGCGGAGGGGCGTTCAGGCAGGCCAGCATGTCTGAGGCTGTAGGTGGCACGGCAGGGGTCACCTGTCTGAGCAAGGTGTGGCCAACATGCAATGGCCGCACAGAGCCATCAGAATCGAGGGGGTGGGGGTATCTTCCTACCACCCCAGCTTGGAGCTAGGGACCTTCGCACAGCCACGCTCGGGTGGGGCCAGCCTTCCTCCATCTGTCAGCAGCAGGCACTTCATACTGCTCTTTTCCAGCACGCGACCCCAAAGCCATTCTTAGAGACCCAGGCTTCTCCGGGCCCCTCATTTACTTCAGAGACAGGCTAGGGCTGTGGTCCTTCTGTGTGGGTGACCTTAGAGTGGGACTCCTGGAGACCATGTCCACTCCAGTTCCAAATTGGGAGGATCCAGCCGTTGTGTCCTTGTGCCCGTTAATCCTGCGAAAAAGGATACTGCCCAAACTACCCTGAGTGTGGCATTAGCAGCTGGTGGTGGCACCTGCCTCTGCCCACACAAGATCCCCTCCCCACCCCGCCCCCCACTAGAGCTCCAGTCTCCAACTTTCCAGAAACAAACCCAACTAACAGCTAACCTGGTATCTCACCTGCCTGACTGCAGTGTTTGTTTTTTTTTTCTTTTAAACAATGTATATTAATTGCTTTGCCTTATTTCCCATAGTGTAGAAGCCCTGAGTCCTTCCAAACCCCCAAGTGCAAATTCTTTACTTGGAAACTTTTTGTACTATTGAGTAAGGCTGAAGGGCTTTTAGGCTGCTGCTCATGTTTGGGGGGACCATGTTGCAGGGAGGATTTCTCAGTTCTCGTGAAATAGCACACCTGAGCTGTTCAGAAAGTGTTCCTGTTGCGTTGTAAATCAGACTCTGAGGTTTCCCCGTGGGTTGGGGGCCGTGAAATGGGCCCGTGCTCTCCCGGGACTTCAGGGGTCTAGACTTCCAACACCACGGTTGACAATACCAGATTCATTACCGGTTGAAGAGACCCCTGAGCAGCGTCATGAGCCGCTCTGCCTGGAGACTGCTGGGAAATTGCCCCCCCCACCTCCGCCCCCGGCCATAAGCAGGATGCAGCCAGAAAGATCCCCTGAGAAGAATGAGCGTCGGTCCCAACAAGAGCAGAAGTAGGTTAGTAGTAGGAGTGTGCTGCGGCCCTAGCCCACGCATGGAGGGGTGCCGTAATCCGGTCCGGCAGACCCCCGACACAGCAAGCCCAGAGTCACAAATAGCACTGGCTGTGGCCGAGCCGGTGGCACCACTGCCCCCCACCTGCCGCCCCCTAAGTGGAGCCAAGTGAGGGTCAGCGCACGGCAGACAGCTCACCCAGCGCCCACGTCAACATCTGCCACTTCTGGCCCCCGACACGCCGCTTTCTCTTTGGACCCTGAAGATGGGCGGGCGCGTCTCACCGTTGCCTCAGCCAAGCCAGCCCCGTATGTGCCGGCCTTTATTGGAGGGTGGTCCTGTGCCAACTGTCTCTTATTTTTTTTTACTTCGAGTCTTCTTCCCTTTCTGTCTGCCTCCCCCAACACACTCCTCTTCAGACCCTTGGATTAGCCTTCAGCCTTCAATCGTCGCCCAAGAAGGTGCTGTAACCATGGCATGTCAGAGGCCACAGTCTCTTAGGGATCAGCTGGGCCAGGCTTCATCTGACGGATGAGAACACTGAGGCCTCCCAGGGGCTTGGTGACATGCCCAAAGCCACGGGGCAGTGACAGAGTCCAGTGCCCTCTTGGCTGGCCAAGGCCTCTCCCTTCCCTTCCATCGGCATGGACGAGGGAGCTTCCTCGTCCCTCCCAGTTTCTGTAGTTCCTGTTTGGAGAGCAGTGTGCACGTTTAGTCTGTCTGGTGGCATCCACATTATTAGAAGGAACTTTACCCCAGTGCTACGCTCAAGGCATTGATTTACCAGGGTAGGAGGTGTATATAGGTAAGTTACTGTGTGCAACCACAAGCAGGTCAACCCTTGCCCTGTGTTGTATAAGCTTTACTGTTAGCTCTCCCCCTAGTTCCACGGAGATTCCGGCCCTGAGGCCAAGTGCCTTTCATACTGGAAGGAGTCAATTCCGATTGTTCATGATATTCCTGGTTTCTGAATTAGAAAACAGAAACCCTGACCTGGAAGTTAAGGGGCTCGGAGTCCTGTGGGGTGAAAACTAAATAGAACCTAGCCACCACGCCGCTTCTCTGATGGGGAGACTGAGGCCAAGAACTGCCCAAGCCCCCCTCTCCCTGCTCTGCCTCTTTACCCAAAGTCCTGAGGCTTCTTAGGACAGCAGAGACTCCAGGGCTCCTGAGTGAAGAAAGAAGCAAGTCCAGAAAAAAGTGATATGCTCCAGGGATCTGACTAGCCCAGCCCAGCCGACCCATCGCCCAGTGCTCTGTCATCAGCCTGGCTCCTGGGGCTTTGCCTGGAGGATGCCCTTCCATAAACACACTACTTATTTGGAGAAATCTGAAAGGGGGAAGAAAAGCGTTCCCATGATCCAGCTTTTGGGAAATTTTTGTTTTTGAGGGGGTGAGGAGTTTCTCAGATGTCAGTGTTTGTTTTCTGAGCGTGCTGCCTTTCAAGATTAATCCTCAAAGAAGAAAACTGGAGCGTGATACCCAGCCTCGAGGGACTTATTTTTGAGCAGTAACAAAAATACTGTAAAGCCGTATCAGAAGGTTTAAGACCCATGACCCCTTAGTGGCTGTTTTTCAAGCTCCTGCAGCACATTGGAAAGCTCTACCCATCGAACCTCCATTTCCCCTCGATAGACTGAAGCTGGGTGGGTATAAGAAAGCCCAGCACACACTCCCAACAACTGTGGTTGGCCATGTTTTCTCTTTGGAGATGCCGCTAACTTTCCAAGCTTTTGTTTTTGGGAACTTGGCGTGGCGCGCATCCTCCCAGAGGCCAGGCGTTCTGACTTAAAAGCATCGAGATAATGAAAATTGGCATCTTCTGTCACAGGAACATGTCAAGACAGAAGTCCTGCCAGCAAGCGTAAAATTAGCAGATCGCGCTCCGCGTGCCTTTACTGCTTTCTTTTCGATGGAGGAGTTGGGTGCTGCCTTAGGTGCTGTTAGCACATCCACGTTGGGCATCTGTGCCCTCTGGAATGAGAATCCTGTGCTCCTTGTCCCTAGGAGTCATTTCAGGGTGATTTGAACTCCTTGACGTTTTTTTCATTCCAACACGAGATTCCCAGTAAGTCAAAGAGATAAAAGGACAGCGTAGACCGAGTCTTCCTAATCTGATCAAGGGGTGTGGGCTTGAACCTTTATGAAAATGCGTGTGGGGTGCCCACGCTGGGTCTGTAGTGCGGCACGATATACGTTAAGGCGCTCCAGGTTACCAGAGCGTGGGAGCTGCCAGCCTCGCCAGGTGCGTGTGTGCACGGGACACCTGCTCGGCACACTCGGGCCGCCCTAGGGGCCCTCGCTCTACCTCACACCCCAAACTCTGCCAGCAGCAGGTTTCCGTCTCTAAGGAGCGGCTTGTCCCGTCAGGGCAGGGCTGGGAATAGGAAATCTTTGTTCTTTTCCTTTGTTAAGCTCATGTTATTTTTTAGATTTGGCAAACACCAAGGCAGTCCTCCCGGTGCTCATTGTAACTGTATTCTTACCCTAGACTGTGATGCTGGGGGGAAACCAGCTATAGACACAGTGCTAGAGAATTTTCTAGAAATAGTGGACTTGTGAGCCGCTATTGCATTCTAGCCAAATGGACGTTTCAGAATCACCGCCCCGGAGGCCTTCCACAGGTGGGCCAGGCATGGAGACTGCTCAGGCACCCATGAGGCATGTCTTTGTTTTCTCGGGGCCCAGTCACCCCCACCCCGGCTACCGCTCCCTAGTTCTCAGTTGAACTTTTCTTTGGCTCCCGAAGCGCAGCCAGCCATTGAGAGCTGGGGAGGCAGGGTGAGACTAAAGGAGCCACTGCATTCAGGACTGCTTCGTGATTCTCCCCTGAAGAGACACAAAGACAGCTAAAGCCCCAACGTCGCTTTGGTCATCAAAGCCCCAGCTTTGCCCGCTTGTGTTGGTGGTGAGATGTGCCCGCCTGCTGTCAGCCAGGCCACACCCAGGCCCCGGTGCTCCCCTCCTCCCACTCAGAGACGCACTGGGACACGTTCCGAAATACTTTCAGCGCCCGCCTGACCACCTGCACCCCCTGCTCCGGGCAGACTGCCACCCGGGATCCCCAGTGGCATCAGGGGCTTCCTGGTGTCTTCTCCAGTCACTCCCAGGGGCTGGGCTCGATGGCGGGTAGGCAGGACTCTTCCAAGGGTCCTAACCTGATGAGTTCAAAACCAGCCTGTAGGACCAGCGCATTCCTGAGATGAGAAGGTGCTTTGCATCCCTGGGCTGAGAGTAGTCAAAAAGTTATCCATTTCAAGAATGCGTACTGCTGCCCTCCCTCCTCCTCTCCCCCCCCCCCCCCCCCCCCCCCCCCCCCCCCCCCCCCCCCCCCCCAGCGCCCGCCGGTCAGCCCTGCTTCTTAGAACTGGCCACCTCATTGCTTCCCTCACCTGCCATTTCATGTGTGGCTGCCTTGTGTTGCCCGCGCCTGCTGTGCCAACGTGTTTTTTTGCTCTGTGTACGTTTTGGTTTCGTTCTGGGGTTGCTTTTGACGATTTATTTTGTTCGGTGTTCTGTCTCCCCTCGCCTGGCTGTGGGGCTGCCTGACCCGCTGCTTGCCGCCTCCATAGATCCCCGTTGCGCAGCCCTCTGTCATGGACGACATTGAGGTGTGGCTCAGGACGGACCTGGTGAGACTCGACTTTTCTCTTCTGTGTGTGGGGCGTGGCAAGGCAGAGGTGCTTCTGAAGACAGGCCCGGGGCCAGGGGCTGCTCCCCACTGGGGTGGCAGAGGAGGAAAGCCCACTGGGCCCAGCGCACCTGCTGCGGGCGCGGCCCCGGGGCCTCGGCAGGCAAGGCTCTGGCTGGCTCCGAAACCACACACACTTGCCTCCAGTTACTTTTCTGTATCTAGTGTGTGTGTGCTTGGGTTCTTTTGCTTTGGGGTTTTGTTTGGGTTTTGGGGGGATTTTGTGGGTTTTATTTTTATTTTTTCTTTTTCACTGTAAACTATATACACAGAGATGAGCCAGGTGTGTTTTTGTTTTTTTGTGGGGTTTTTTTGGTTGGTGTTTTTGCTTTTGTTTTTGTTCTTGTTTTTTTTTATTTTTTACTTGTCATCCCACTTCCCCAGTATGTTCTGGTATCCTGGATTTAAAAGAACCCTTACCCTCGAGACTGTTGTCTCTACCCGCAGAGCTAGGACAGGAAGGTGAGAACATCACGCAGCTGCAGATGGCAGCAGGTCCCAGGAAAGGGAGGGCTGCAGGGGCTGGTCCCTCCTGCTGCTGCTTACAAAGCACTTTCCCTCTCAGGCGGCTGCAGGGGAGGCAGAGTGGGGGTTGCTGGCCAGGGGGGCTGACAAAGAAATGCACTCTGGGAGGGGAAGGGGCTTGCCCAAGGTCATGGGCTGGGCAGATTCTCCCTTAGTCCTAGAGACTCCTCATCTCTTGTTCCTAGCTGCCACCTCTTCAGGGGACCTTGTCCCCAGAGCAGAGCATCGTTAACCACAGGATTGGCCTGGCTGGCAGTGGGTTGCCGACTTGGCCCCCTTCTGTACTAGGGTAGGGCCTCCCACTGCTCCGGGCCACCTCCCCACAAGGCCAGGCTTTCTGAAGACACTCATTGCCCAGCGAGGCAGGCACCCAGGTGCCATGCCAGGGGAGGAAGAAAACACATCATATTTTTCCCAAGGGAATGCCTGGAAAAGAACCAGCTCTCGTCACAGAGACAAAGCAGGAAGGAGCAAGGCCCTCTCCTCGTGGGGCAGGGGGGGCGGGGAGCCCAAGGTTCAGAAAGGGGGAGGGACCTGTCTGACAAGGCTGAGCAGATCAGTGGCAGGGCCAGGAAGGAAGCCACGTCTCCTGGCTGAGCCCAAGGCCCTGTCCGCTTCCCCATCCAGCTCCCTTCCCTATCACTGTGCAGTAAGTTCCCAGTGACCACTGCGTTCTCCAAACAGAAATCAAGTCCTATCCACTGTCATCGTTAAGAGCTCTCCGAGCTCCCATGGCTTCTCAGGAACCGGCAGCAGGTGACGGAATCTGGGCCACAGGAGGCCGTGGGACATGGCTTCTGGCCGGACAGCGCTTTACTGCCAAATACTGCTTGGTATCCGGCCCTGTGCCATGGACTTCATGGCTCTGTCCCTTCCAGGCCTCATGCGGTTCCCAGCTGTTGGCATGGACAGCGGGTTCCCAGAGTCCTGTGGCTGCTGAGTGAAGGAGCACCTGAGGGGGTCCTGGGCACGCGCGCAGCTCAGCCTCCTCCTTGGGGCCCTGCTCTGGGAGTGTCACTGGGTGGCCAGAGGCCTGCTGTGGTCCTGCCCGTAGCTTTAAACCCAGAGAACCGGCCTGCGCCTTTTTTTGGATTTTTCTTTCTGGTTCTTCTGGGGGATCAAAGCCTAGAACTACGGAGTTTGGGGTGGTTTTATTTTTGCTTTCTAGAAAACAAAAGTTTCCGTGTCTTCAGTAAGACGAGCAGTACTTTACTGTCACAGAGCTCTGGGCACGGGGAATGGGGGGTTTGGCCCAGGCTGGGCCCTAATACTGCTCTCTCTGCTCCTCCCACAGAAGGGCGACGACCTGGAAGAGGGCGTCACAAGTGAAGGTATGACTGGGCCAGCACCTTGACAGCTCCCCACCTTCTGTTGGCTACCCCTGCCCCAGACTCTTGAGGTGCATAGGGGCCGGCACCCCACTGTCTTGGAGCCTCCACTGCCAGCGTATCTCCCGGTGCCCATCCTTGCTTGGCCTGGCCTCCTGGGCCAGGGGCTTCTCTGCTCTGTCCCAGCCAGGCCCCGTGCTGATGAGGGAAGTGAGGGAACATGTGACTTTAAGAAGGTCACAGAGCTAGTGAATAGTAGGTCCCAATTGCCATCCCAGGTCAGCGTGACCCCCAGATCTGCAAGCCTAATCAGTTTGTCCCTACCCCCGAATTCTTAATCTAGCAGAGAGACAAGACATGCTGTGCAGTCCACAGGGCTGCATAGGGAACTCATCGGGCCTGGCGTTCTGGGACCCCACTTCTGGGGGGCCAGTGGGTGACGGGTCGGGTAGGGAAGTTCCCATCAAGGTCCTCCAACCCCCCCATCTCGCCCTCTCCTTCTCTCCCCTGCTCTTCCTGTCTCCCCCACTCCCTGCCACTCTCCCCTCTGCACTGCCTCCTCCCTGCTTTGCCAGACCATCTGGTCAGACCCCCTCCACTGGCAGAACCTTGCTTGGAGGATGAGCATAGGGTAGGGGGATGTTCTCTGCCAAGTTTAAGTGGGGACTTGCCCCTCCAACTTTCCCTGCCCTGCCTCCAGTGCTGATCTGGTGCATGGAAAAGCCCCAACTTAGAGGGGTGGGTGGGGCTGGTATCGTACCTGCTCCTTCCCCCTGTACCATCTGCAGGTAGCCAGGCTTCCTGCTTGCCCTGGAGGCCGCAGAGGGGGAAATCAAGCCTGGGTCTCTGGGCAGCAGACGGCCCAGAAGCACCCCTAGCTCTGGCTGGCTGCTCCCCTGCCGCTCCCCGCCTCCCTCCTTCCCTGGCAGGCAGCCCAGGCTAGTGTGCTGAGGGTGGGGACAGTGAATGGGGCTCCGAGGGGAGCAGGTGAGATGTGGTGGTTAGAGCCTCACTGTGGACCTAGCCTCCCACCAACGCTGCCCCTTGCCCTGGTTTTGTATTGCAGAATTCGATAAATTCCTCGAAGAAAGAGCCAAAGCTGCTGAAATGGTTCCCAACCTCCCCTCGCCCCCAGGGGAGGCCCCGGCCCCGGCCCCAGCCTCAAACCCCGCCGGTCGGAAGAAGCCTGAGCGGTCAGAGGATGCCCTCTTTGCCCTGTGAGCTGTTCTGCGGTTCGGCTCTCCACATGGCAGGTCACTCCTTATTCCCCCGGTCCACACTAGGCACTGGCCACTCCTCCCATCCCCAGTCCTCACTCGGTCCTGTGCTGCTGTGTCTCCATGGAAACGCCACTGTGTTTGCTCCCAGGCCTCCCACTAGTCAGGACCAGCTTTAGCCACCTTCTTCTCTCTGGGTGGTGGGACAGCATCGATGCAGCCAGAGGCTCTCTTCCCCTGCCCCCGCCCCTCTGGCCCACAGGCTCCCTCTACCCATGTGTCCTCCCCAGAAGAACAGGCAGTGGGACCCAGCCCCAGGCAGGGCAGTCCCCGTGGGACCATTTCCTGAGGAGACACCTGGACTGCCTTTCCTCCGGTTTCTGCCCGCAGAGAAGGGGGTTCCACCCCAGCCCCTCCCCCCCCCCCCCCCCACCGTGCCCTGCCCCTACCTGACTCAGTGGGTCTCCTTGGACCGGCCTACGCTCCCATGCCCCTGTTCCAGAAAGGGCTTGTCTGCACCTGTGGGCTTGGTCTCCCTCCCTGGAATGCTGCTCCCTGACGCGTGTCACCTTGTGGCACTTGGCGTGCTCGGCACTTTAGAAGGCTCTGTGGGTGCCCTTGTGTGAGGCTTCTCACCCTCTTGATCCTCTCTCCATCGCTCAGCTGCTAACCCAGGCCCACGCCAGGCTGGCTTAGCAGCTGAGCCTGGGAGCGAGGGGTCCCCGGTGGACCCGGGGAGAGGGAGAGCCAAAGGCAGTTGCAAAGACGGCACGCGACCCATGGATGATGGTCACGAGGCACACGGGTTAGCTCTTGCAGAGATAACACAACCGTAAACCAAACTGCCCCACGTCCCCATCTGTGGAGGGGCCCACACGGGGAGGAATTGCTCTGGCTGCTTGGGAAAGCTTGGTGGGCTTGTGAGCACACCAGGCTCGGGGCTTTGGCCTGGTCCGTGGCAGCCTCTGTGCCTCTACCTCCGGGGCCCAGGAGCAGATGGCTGTGCACCATATTTGGAGATCCAGTGACCAAGGGGCTGGAGTGACCCTAGGGTCCCTGCACTGCTCCTTGGTGTGGTCTCCGCTTCCTCCACAGAACGTCCTGACAGCCTGCCCTCTCCCCGCCCCCAACCCCCCTTGCTGCTGATTTGTACCCTCTCTCCAAGCCAACCTAGAAGACTAACAGCCTGGGGCTGAGAGCTAGGGGTTGAGGACACCTGCTCCCGCCACTGGGTGTCTCCTGGCCGTGGGCAGGACACTCAGGCTCCGTGCAGTCCAGGGGGCAGCCCGCCCCGCCCCTGTGCCGCGGTTGGCCAGGAAAAGAAAAATGCTGCAGCAGCTGCTCCGAGCCCGCCCGTGAGTCCCCAGGGCCCGGGTCAGTGTTCCAGAAGGTGCTGCCCAGGTATCGGGGGCAGACGTGTTCCCGAGCCGTGGCGTGGCCAGCCCTTCCCACTTGGCAGCCAGAGTGGGGTCAAGAGGCCGGGCTGGGCGCAGGCCAACACCAGTGCCTCGGGCTCTGGAAGAAGCATTTAGGCCACGGCCCAGCACCTCTGGTGGAGAGCGAGGCGCTGCCTAGCCCAGAACCCTGTGCCCCGGTCCGGGGTCTGGCTGGGGGCCCTCCTGGCAGGACCAGCCGGGGGTGTCACACGCCCGATTCCTCAGAGGACGTGTAGGAAACTCCCCCTCAGAGATCAGAGCTCAGCCAGCCTGACTCCAGCCCTGCCCTCCCTGGCAGCCAGTGCCACGCCTCTACTGTCCCCCCTCACCCCGACCCCACCCCTCGGTCCTCTCCTCCTCTTGTCAACATTGCTCACAGGCAGAGCCCCCTGAGGTCTGCCTATTTGGACGTTAGGAAGTCTTAAGTCAGCTGGCTTGACGTGAGCTGCTGAGAAGGTGGCTGGGATGGTCCGATTACACCTAGCGACCCAGCTAGTACCCTCCAGCGGCCTGGAGCGCTGGTCTCTGTGAGGGCCAGGGGCCCGTCCCTCCGCGGCCAAGCCCGGCAGCTTCTGAGGGAAGAGCCAGCGTCCCCGCCTTGTGGAAGGAGAAGTCCCCCCAAGAGCAGGAGCCTGAAGGGCCCAAGGGGAGAGGAGGCTCCTGGCAGGGAGTAAAGCCGAGGCCTGTGTCTGTCTGGGGGAGAACCCAGCACAGCTGCTCTTAGTACCCACAGTCCAGAGCTGCCCCCCAACTACAGGCAGGGCTTGGAGAGTCCTGGCCGCCCCTGGGCGGCAGATGGTGATGGAGCCTGTGGGCTGGCAGGAAAGCACTGGCTCACACAGGGGAGAGCCCCCTGCCTTCCCGGCCTGCAGCTGCCCTTCCTGTTGACAAGTCCCGTCCAGAGGCAGCCTGCCCCTACCTGGAGGCTGAGGTGACACATGCGTGAGGGTGAGGCCCGTGCAAAAAGCCAAGCAGGGGCCCAGGTGGCCTTAAGGGGGTGCTGCTCAGCCCTTTCTGTCCTGCGGCCCGCAGACACCCTAGGCCACTCAACCACTGGTTCCCTTCCATGTGGGGAGCACAGCTCCCAGGCTCCCTGCTTGGGGAAGGGAGCCGAGCTCCGGCAGGAAAGCTGGCCAGTGCCTACCCCCCGGGAGAGTGAGACCCTCACGAGCCACCAGCCGCTCCACAAGTGTTAGAAATCACAGATACAGTATGTACTTAATTACACTAAATTATTGCTGGGATTCCTTATAAGCACTAATTATACCTGATTATAGGTTAAAATATTTATTTTGTCAAAATATTTTCTTGGGAATGTGTTTAACCTTTTCTGTGTTCATTGTGTGCTGAGATGAGAAAACTAACCATTTCTTCCTGCCTACTTTTGTGGCCAGTGGGCAGCTGACCCAGGGCACACTAGTGGGCTTTGGGCCAGCCTGGCCCAGAGCAGTCCCTGCCTGGGAGCCCCCCCTCCCAGGGACTGAGCAGGCCGACGGGCCAGGCCGAGAGGTGACCCGCCTGCTTATCAGCGGGCACGGGACAAGGGGTCTCTGAGCTGAAAGGGCTTAATGCTGGCTGGGGCCGGAGGGAAGGGTGACTTCGTCCGTGGTCCGTCCTGTCTTTCTGTTTTGTCAGCCCCATCGGTGTGAGTGACTGGGCCATCTGCCTTGGCTCACTGCCCTTCCCTTCCTCCCCCTGGGGTCCAGAGCAAGGGGGCCTGGGGAGGTGTGGGGCCCTCACTGTCACTCAGGGCCTCCCACAGGGAGAGTGGTGGCAAGGGCTGTGGATAGCGGTGGCAGCAGGCACCTGGACCCCTCCGGCTTCATGGAGCAGACAGTTGCTCAGCCTCCTACACTCTTGTCCCTCCTCTTCCTTCCTGCCGCCCACCCCCACTTTGTCTCCACGTCTGCTACACACGTTTCTAACTCAGTCTGACCCAGCCTTCTGGATGGTTTGTGGAGGACTGTGGGCTAGCAGGGGAAAAGCACCATGCAGGAGTGCCGTGTTCTCTGCCTGGCCCCAGCCGGCCCACCACGAGCCTGTCCTCCATGTGCTGTAGGGACTCTGGGCCCCTCTGCTCGTCCACCCCCATGGGGAACAGCCAGCTTCACCACCATGGCTGAGTGTGCGTGCCCCCAGAAGATGCCCCCTGTGGTACCCGCCTCTCCCAGTGCCCGTCTCCGGCCCTTCCTGTCCATGGGGGTCCAAGCCAGGCTGCCCCTGCGGCCACCAGCTGTCAGCCCTGAAGTTCTACTCCTCTCGTGTCTGAAATCTCCAGGCTCCCCTGGAGAAAGGGGGATGGATATTTATTTTCTAAAGTTTGCACTTAATTTGTGAGGGTCTCAGGATGGGGGAGGTGGGCTGTTGAAAGAGAGATGTGTTGAGTTTGTTGTCCAGTCCTGGAAGTCTAATGTTCTGTCACTGTTGTGCGTTTCTGTGGGCAGAGCCGGTTCTGGAGGGCGGGTCGGTGCACTCGAGGCTCAGCGCGTCCATCCACCCACTGGCTCTCCTTCCAGATACTGTCTCTCTAGTTTGGGTTCTTGCATGTAAAATACAATAAATAAATGAACAAACTGTTCCTGTGTGATCTCGTGACTGTCTAAAGGACCTGCCAGTTCTGGGCACCTGCTTTTTTTTTTTCTTTTTTAAGTGTTAATTATTTTTGAGAGGGGGCAGGGAGGGAGAGCTAGAGGAACAGAGAGGAAGAGAGAATCCCAAGCAGTCTCCGCACTGTCAGTGCAAAGCCCGATATGGGGCTTGAACTCACGAACCGTGAGATCATGACCTGAGCTGAAACCAAGAGTCGGACACGTAACCCACCGAACCACACAGGTGCCCAGGGGCACCTGCTTTCTCTAAGCGGGAGCTGCCCCAGGGGCCCCGCTAAAGGAAGCCATTCTGGAAGCTTGCTCCACTCCCCCTTCACCCATGCCCAGGCTGTTTGAGGGTGCCGGTGAGTCTGGGCTAAAGGAAAATCCCCATGCCTGTTCCAGTTTGGCTATCTGGGGGCACAAGGCTGGTTTGGGGGTGTTGGTTGTAGCAGCTGGAAACCTGCCATGGCCTGCCTGCAAGCTCTACCAGAGCCCGTGGTTCTTCCTACGTCTTATGCCAGGCCTTAGGCACGTTGCGGGAGGCCCTCAGCCCTGTCCCAGGTATCCAGGCCTTGGGCAAACAGGCCAGAGCCATCTCCTCCTGGGCTCCCCAAAGTTAGGCAGGCATCCACCGAATCCTCTGGACAGCTTGTGCCACACACTGAGTTTAAAAGCTGCTGCTCCAAGGACCACTCCCCACTTCTAGAAACAGCTTTATCGAGATCTGATTCACATAGCATACAATGCACCCATTTTAAGTGTCCCATTAGGTCGTTTTCAGTCTATTCGTAGAGTTGTGCAGGGACCTCAAGATCCCTGCATCACCGCGATCAATTTTTGAGCATTTTCATCGCCCCAAAAAGCAGTACCCCACACACACCTCCCCACACCCCCCAGCGCTCTCCGTTTTAAAAGGTTTCTGTCCTGTCCTTTCCTGGGAGCTGGCCACTCTGGGTGCTTGCTGCCAGGCCACGGTC